TTTAACCTGCGGCGAAGGTTGTTGAATTTAATTAAAATAAAGATTTGAAATCGACTTTTAATTGTTTTACTCAAGCCGGGTTCAAAAAATTTAGTTTATTGCCTACAATATCGTTGTTTTTTTTTTGAATGTTCGTTAATAACAAATTTTAATTAACATTTGAATTTTTGTAGTGTTGTGCGGTTTGTACTTAGTGTATGTGTTAAAAATGCAACACCTGAAGCGTTGTTTTTTATGTGGTGTTAAATATAAAGCAGATACCACTAATTTTTTTTACGTGCCTCAATGTCCTTCGCGTAAGGAGCGTTGCGAAAGCAGCTGTGGGCAGAGCTGCAGCGAAATGCCTTGCTGTGCGTTAAACATTTTAAAGTAGCAGATTTCACAAATACACCGGGATGTACAGGAAAGGCACGTTTGATGCCAAGTGTTGTTCCTATGACCCTTATGGCGAAAAGTCCCTCCAACAATACTGCAACTCATAAATCAAAAGCAGAAAACAACATACAAGTTAACAAATTTTAACAAAAGAAAATAAAAATAAACTTTAAATTTACTTAAAAACGTCAACCAGTGAAATACAATTTTTTATTTTTCCTTACACACGCTCATTTTTATTTTTACTCTTCCGAAAACTTTGACTTTTGTAGGTTTGACGTCAAATTGGCTTCTACCTGTTTTTATTGTACCATTGTACCATAAATAAGCATATAGAAAAATGCTTGAAATGAACAATGTATAAAGAGCTGACTCATTCATTTTTAATTTTCTTTACTTGCCTCATAAAGAGCTCTACAGGTGCAGAGCGTATATTTTTAGATTTAAAATTGATCCAATATCAAAAGAGAAATAGAATTTCATTACAAAGTGTTGAGAATATGATGGCACGTATTCATAGTAAAAATAAAGTCGACATTGAAGGCAGTCTTCATTACATTACATTACACGCTTGATTGTTAACGAGTTTCACATAAAATACCATCATGGCTGCTTGGAGACTGTCATCAATGAAGTTCGTCAACTTTATTGGATTCCAAAACTTCGAGTTGTGGCAAACCAAATCCGGCGCCATTGTCAGCTTTGCAGGAACCGTAGCGCTCAGCCGCAAATTCCAAGAATGGCTCGCCTATTGCTCATCACTGCCGTCCGTTTTCCTACACAGGAGTGGATTATTTCGGCCCGCTTCTAGTAACTGTGAAGAGAAGCAGTGAGAAAAGGTACGGGGTCCTATTCACATGTCTAACTACGAGAGCCGTGCATATCGAAATTGCCTATTCGTTATCTACAGACTCGTGCATTCTCGCCACACGTAACTTCATGGCACGGAGAGGTAGTCCGTTAGAAATCTGGAGCGATAATGGAACAAATCTTAAAGGCACGGAAAGAGAACTAAAAAACACATTTGCGCAACTCGACCGTGATCAACTGACCAAGACCTTTACGACACCAGCAACTAAATGGAATTTTATACCGCCTGCGTCTCCCCACATGGGTGGAGCCTGGGAGAGGTTAGTCCGCTCTATAAAGAACGTACTCTATCGCATCATGCACCACACTCATACAAACGACGAAGTTCTTCGAGCAGCCTTAATGGAAGCAGAAATGATAGTCAACTCGCGTCCACTGACATACATCCCATTGGATCATGAGGCCGATGAAGCGCTAACACCCAACCACTTCTTGTTGGGTAGCTCAAGTGGCGTTAAACCAATTGCTGAACCAGTAACTGAAGGTGTTTTATTACGACGTAATTGGCGATCATCTCAGCAACTTGCCGACGCCTTCTGGCGGCGTTGGGTCGCGGAGTACCTTCCCATCATAACACGAAGAAGTAAGTGGTTCGAAGACGTAAAGCCGATCGAAGTTGGCGACATTGCCTATATAGTCGATCAAAACAATCCAAGAAACTGTTGGCCAAAAGGAAAGGTGGTTAAAGTGCGCACGAGCCCTGATGGAAGAGTTAGGAGTGCA